AGCCACCGTAGATGTTGGCCAAGTATGAATATATTCTATTTTAATAAAATTTAAAAATTTTATACAATAAATTGATGTAATATTTAATATTTTTCTGTGAGCCATGCCTTAGAGGCACTGAGGGGAGCCGCCAATCCCTTTATATGCAGTAAATCCTGGGGAGAACAAAATTTAGGAACCTCAGAATCACCATCAAACTGTTATAGTACATTCAACTAAATATTTCTTTTTCATTGGTCGAGAGGAGCACAATTGCAGAAAAGATTGTTTCACTGAATGTACACTGGCAAACGAAAAAGTCTCACAACTTCTCGTACAATTTGGAATTGATAGTCACTCATAATGTTTTGAAAGTTTTCAAAATTCACTCGCCCTATAAAAAATAAAGGCTCCTGCAATTATGAAGAACTTTCGAAACATTACTCGTGACTATTAATTCCAAATTGTACTAATATAAATGTCGTGCGATAGTCTCTTTCACGGTAACCTTCACCATCTTGAAAGGTAGCCGTGCCTTTGCATCGAAGTGAGACGACCGTTGAGCGTGCAATGATCGAAACCTTCTTTCACACCTACAGATCATTATTCACAGGTATCTATCATTGCGCGCCCAACGGTCGTCTCGCTTCGACGCAAAGGCACGGCTACCTTTCAAGATGGCGCAGGTAAACCGTGAAGGAGACTATTTCTTATACAAATTTCAAAGTACGCATAACTTTCACTGAATATTTTTTTGACCAATTATTTGATTAAAGATACATTGCAAAAGGTCACACCCATAAGTAGAAGTACTACTTTTTCTTACTAAAAAAAGCACTGCACTTTTATATAATTAACTCTGAAGAATCCTGTTCGGGTTGACGTGGAAAAATCTAGCTTCCTTTATATGTTGGGTTTTACTGTATTATTATTGCGTCCCCTCAAATATGGCCTAAATTAGTGATTTTTTTTTCTTTAGAGCTATCTCATGTTGTATAATATAAGTAAATTGCACATTGATTAATACTTTATTAATTATTTATGCCTTATGATTAAATATAGCACAATTGCACTTGTACCAGCAACAGYAGGACATGCATTATCAACCATGTTGACGGAACAYACAAGTGCTTGTGTAAACCTGGTTTTGTTGGAGAGGACTGTGAAACCGGTAATGGTTTGACCTTATTTTGAATTATACSTTTAAMGTCAAGTGTTTGAATTGCTATTGATYTATCCAAACGCACTCTCTGATGATTTATTGCGTATTTGGGGAGACTAATAAACGACCGCTTTCAAAAATGGCGTTAGTAATTCACGACCGTCAATGTAGGGGGGACTTTTAGTGACGAATTATAATGGAAA